AAATGAACAAATACATGGATTTAAATCTTCATAGATCATGGGACCAAGTTAATCAATGTAAATCAATGTCTAAATTGAGAGAAGAGCTAAGCATGATGGCAGAGGCCTATAAACCCAACTACTCCAGAAGCTAAGACAGGAGGTTCACAAGTTCAAGGCCAACCTGGACAACTTAGCAAGACCCTATCTCAAAACAAAAAACTATAAGGGCTGGGGAATGTCACTTAATGCTAAAGCACCTTAGGGTTTAATTCCCATTAAGGAAAAAATAATAATAATAAAATAAATTTTTCCCAGAGTATGTTTATTCTCTTAATTGAAAGCTCACAGTTGTATTAAACCAACAAACAGTTGCTGTGGATTTAGCTCAGTGTGAGCACCTGCCTAGCATCCATGATGCCTGGGTTCAATCCCTAGCATGCCAAAAAAAAATTAAATTAACATCAACCAATGGGAGCCCTTTACACACATTAGAAGCAAAAACTACTATGGTTTAAACAGGTTTTGACTTCCAGCTTTCCCACACTTACTGAAAAGCAGCATGTATGATTTAGCATGGGCAAAGAGTCACGAGAGGAATTTTTTCTAGGTTGACCAACGTAAAACTCCCCAATATCCAGCAAATGATTAGAAAAAGTGACTGACTGGTGGTAAGTGTAGATAAAGCAATGGCTAACAGTCACCAAAGTCTACAAAAGATAATTAAGAAGGCAGGGGAAAAAAAGCTAATTATGAATATTTAAAGGTATTTTACAAATGAAAACAAAAACTAAACTACCTGACTTCTGCTATCACATTTGGGAAGTAATGAATCATAGCTTTTAGGTCACAGGCTTTGAATTTGAACTCAGCTAATCTTTAACTTCTAGTTCCAACTTTTACAAGCACTGTGAACTTACCACCTACGAAAGAAGGTAATTTCTACCTGGTAGTATACATCAGCTGGGATAATGTGTATATAAATCTCTATACTGAGAGCTCAATCAATACACCAGAATAAGCTTTTTTTCCCAGGATAAGCTTATTTGCCTCCTAATTCATGAAACAGTACTTAAAGAATATACTACTATAATAGTATAAAACTAGTCAAAAGAAAATTCCATCAAGAAAAGATTATTCAAGCCCCTCAAAACACAATCTTAGCATAAGGAGGAATGAAGAACTTTAAATTGTTCAGAAATAAATACAAGTTAACTTTAAAACTATTAAAAGTAACACCTGTAATTACAACCAAACAAGTAGGCAGTTAAAGCAACCTGAGTCCCACCAAAGGAATGTGCTCAATCCAGTCAGCACCCCTAATCACACAAGACTCGAACTTCTTGTTAAAGCTATAGCTTCCTTTTTGTCTTCAACTCTGTCAACAAACAGCATATGGAGCAAATGAAATCTCTATTAATAAATAAACACCTCCTTTACAAAATCCTTTCCTCTAATCATGACCAAGAAGTATTGGTAAGTTTAAAAAAAAAAAAACTGCCAGATCTTGAGTCTTTTGTCTACACCTTTTAAATATGTTTTTAGGGCAGTGGTAGTGTGCTTGCCTAGCATTGGGTTTGATTCTCAGCACCACATATAAAATAATAATAATCATCATCATCATCATCATCATCCATAAACAACTAAAAAAATTTTAAATATTTTTTTAGTTGTAGATGGACAGAATACCTTTATCTTATTTACTTCTTTTTATGTGGTGCTGAGGATAAAATCCAGTGATGTGTGAGGCAAGCACTCTGCCACTGAGCCACAATCCCAGACCCTGTCTACACCTTTGGCATACTTAAATTATCTAAAAAACATTGCAGGGCCTTGCAAAACAACTAATAGCAAAAGAGGGGAAGGGGGTAAAGCTCAGCAGTAGAGCACTTGCATAACATGTTTAAGATCCTCAGCTGGAGGAGGAGGAGGAGGAGGATTCTGTGCCTTTACAACATAAAGCCAATCTTTAAAAAAAAAAAAAAAAACCCTAAACCATATGACAACTATTGATAAGAATAAAGGGCCAGGCATGGTGGCACATGCCTATAATTCCAGCAGCTCAGGAGGCTGAGGCAGGAGGATTGTGAGCTGAATGTCAGCCTCAGCAACTTAGCAAAGCCCTAAGCAACTCAGCGAGACCCTTTTCCTAAACAAAACATTAAAAAGGGCTAGAGATGTGGCTCAATGGTTAAGCACCCCTGGGTTCAATCCCCAGTACTATTAAAAAAAATGTGTGTGCGTATATATATATATATATATGAATGATTTATGAATAATTAGAATAAAGGACGAAAAGGTAATCACAAGTGATTTATGAAGTAATAATTTTTTAACTGAAAATGTTAAAGAATTATGTAGTCAATGTGATTGTTATATACTAATCCCTATGGCATTAAGGCCAAATTCTATAGTGAAAAGCATCTTAATGTCTATTAAATATAAGGTAATATGTTTACTTATAAATCTTCTAGGAAGAAACCATAATTCCCCAAAAAAACTAACTTTTTAAATAGGAAAAATTTCACACACACACACACACACACACACACACTAACACACAGTGTCAAGCAAGTTTGGTAACTACATTTATTAAAGATATGAATTCAAATTTTATTGGCCAAAAGTCTCGAGCAGCAAAAGAATTGCACAACAGATTCACCCATCTAATGGGGAGATATAATATTTAGGTCATGCCAAACATATAACATATGGAAGACATATGAGATAAGCCAAAATACATGGTCCTTACTACATCTCACTGAGCTGTGTTGCTCCCCAGTCTCTCCCACTTTTACATTTTACTTTTTGTCATGCTAGAACACACACACAACTCAGCAGGCAAACCAGGATCATTATTTTGCAGTGTAAAATATTTACCAAAATACAAATGGAAGCCAGGCATAGTAGCACACACCTATAATCCCTGTGCCTTTGGAGGCTGAGGCAGGAGGATCACAAGTTCAAAGCCAACCTCAGCAACTTAGCGAAACTCTCTCAAAAAATAAATAAATAAAAGGGCTGAGGATGTGGCTTAGTGGTAGAGCACCCCTGGTTCAATCTCCAGTACAAAAAAAAAAGCCATAAACTCCTGCTCAGATTTCATCAAAAGGAATTTTTCCTACATAGATACCCAGATATAGAGAACAACCTTTGTGCAAGTTCACTACCTCATTGTTTTAGTATGAAAAATATGGACACTTAAAGTATTTTCATCAATAAGGAACAAGTCATTAGAGAATATTCAAATAACAGAATTATTATGTACCTATAAAAGTCTGTGTAGGGGATGGGGTAGAGTGCTTGCCTGGCATGCATGAGGACCTGCATTTAATGATTCCCTAGCATCCAATTAAGAAAAATTGTCAATGAAGAAGTTCTCTAAATACTGACATTATGAATAAAAACAGTAAGATTCAGAACAAAAATGAAAGAAATATATTATATCTATTTTATTTATATAAAATATAGCTGTAAGAATACATCACAAATTACAATTCCTTGTTGCCTCAGGTTAGGGGAAATAGAGGATCAGAGCAGAAAGAAATTTGTTGACACTTTTCTACCTATTGAATTTTGTACCATGTCAAGTTTTAACTGATGCAAAATGTATTTATGTATGTATGTATTATGGTAACAGAGATTGAACGCAGGGGTACTTAACTACTGAGCCACATTCTCAACCCTTTTTTTTTTTCATTTTATTTATTTATTTTTGGTACTGAGAATTTAATACAAGGGTGCCTGACCACTGAGCCACATCCCCGGCCCTTTTTGTTTTTTATTTTGAGACAGGGTCTCAAAGTTGCTTAAGCCAGCATTAAGTTGCTGAAACTGGTTCTAGAACTTAAAATTCTCCTGCCTCAGCCTCCCAAGCACTGAAAAAAATATGTATTTTTTTGTTTTGTTTTGTTTTTTAACTTTTTTTAGTTGTAGATGGACACAATATCTGTATTTTATTTATTTATTTTTATGTGGTGCTGAGGATTGAACCCAGTGCCTCACACATGTGAAGCAAGCGCTATACCACTGAGCTACAACCCCAGTCCTTTTTTTTTTGATAACAAGGTACCTTTGGGTTCAGTCGACTCCAAGGGTGCCTAACCACTGAGAAACACTTTTTCACTTTTTTAAATTTTGAGACAGGGTCTTGCTAAGTTACCTAAAGCCTCACTAACTTGCCAAAGCTGGCTTCAAACATGTGATCCTCCTGCCTCAGCCTCCTGAGATGCTGGGATTACAGGCATACAGCACTGTCCCCAGTATTAATATACTTTTTTTTTTAAAGAGAGAGAGAGACAGAATTTTTTAATATTTATTTTTTAGTTTTCAGTGGACACAACATCTTTATTTTATTTTTATGTGGTGCTGAGGATCGAACCCAGCACCCTGCACATGCCAGGCAAGCGCACCACCGCTTGAGCCACATCCCCAGCCCCAATAAATATACTTTTAATGGTTGCTAATTTTTAAAAAATAATAAAACCCCACCCAGCATGGAAATACATGCCTGTAATTCCAGCTACTTGGGAGACTGAGGCAGAAGGATCAAAAATTTGATTGCTAGTCTTAGCAACTTTTAGTCTTATCAACTTGGTAAGATTGTCTCAAATAAAAATTGAGACAGTTGAAAAGCATTAGACTTGCATGCTTGAGGCCTTGGGTTTAATCCCCAGCACTGCAAAAAAGAAAAAAAAGAAAAAAAATTTCCACAAGCCTCAGTTTATTCTTGAGCATAGCAGGACAAATAATAAATAATAATAATCCCTTCCTAATAAGGTACCAAGAAGAAAAATGAGATCTTGCATTTGATTTGCACTCTATTAACCATTTAGAGTATCTTTGATATGCCACTTGCTCCTCATTCCTAATTCCTTGTATTACATTGTACAAATGACAATGTCTTGGAAACTGCTTGTAAAATAAATGGATGAGACCTTAATAAAAGTATAAAATTACCTCCATATAAGCTAACATGCTGTGATGTTTTGTTTTGGGGATTCAACCACCTGCATACTTACAGGGATGCTCCAGACTTGCATTCCATCACTGTAGCCAATCATAACCAGCAGTGGTGGCTCATTCCCAGTGCTATGTATTTCATGAAATTCCAGATTTCTTGATGTATCTGCAGTAGAATTAAGAAAACACAATTAAACAATATAAATCTAGAAAACAACTGTAATGTTATTAATGTGATAATTATTTAAATTTTCTAATTCAAGAACAAGCAGAAGTAAATAGAGTACATTATTTATTTATTTATACACTGGGGATTGAATCCAGAGGTGCTTTACAACTGAGCTACATTCATTTTTTATTTTGAGACAGGTTCTCACTAAGTTGCTTAGGCCTTGCTAAATTGTTGAGGCAGTCCTCAAATTTATGATCCTCCTACTTCAGCCTCCAGAGTTGCTGGGATTACAGGCGTCCATCATGACCAGTCAGAAGGCACTATTTAAAAAACAATGAACAAGGGTTGGGGCTGTAACTCAATACTTGCCTAGCATGTGTGAGGTACTCAGTTCGATCCTCAGCACCACAGGAAAAAATAAATAAATAAAAGCATTCTGTCCATTTACAACTACAAAAAAAATTTTTTTAAAGAAAATAATGAACAAGAAGTTAAAATTGGAAAACCAGAAGGTTGTTTTTTTTTGTTTTGTTTTGTTTTTCTATTTCAGTACTGGGTATTGAACCCAGGGCCTCACGTAAGCTATACAAACCCTCTTCTATTGAACTGTATCCCCAGTCTTGTTTACTTTGGGGACAGAGTCTCCCTAAATTGCCCAGGCTGACCTTGAACTTGGGGTTCTCCTACCTTAGGCTCCAGACTCCCTATGATTATAGACTTGCAACACCAGGCCTGCCCTGTAGTGACCATTGCTAATTTTTAAAAAATAATAAAACCGGGGCTGGGGATATGGCTCAAGTGGTAGCGCGCTCGCCTGGCATGTGTGCGGCCCGGGTTCGATTCTCAGCACCACATACAAACAAAGATGTTGTGCCCGCCGATAACTAAAAAATAAATATTAAAAAAAATTCTCTCTCTCTTTAAAAAAAAAATAATAATAAAGCTTTAAAAAATAAATTAATAAAATAATAAAACCCCACCTAGCATGGTAGTACATGCCTGTAATTCCAGCTAGTTGGGAGACTTAACCATTATCATTCCACAGATAAAGTCTTTCACTACACAAACTGGAAATCTCATGTTGCCAAAGACCTATTTATACCTGAACTATTTTCTTCTCATTCCGAGCAATTACAGTTGTCTTTCTTTTGGTCTAAAGTAAATCCATCCATTGAGCTTTGAATCCCAAAGCAAATTCTACTGCTCCATTCCTTATTACATTAAAATGAAGAATTTCTGTTAATCATAAGCCACTGTCATCAGAAGAATGAAAAGGCAAATCCCAGTTTAGAAGAAGAGCACCCACAATGATTCACCAAGAACATAAGATTAAACCTTAAAATCAGGGCAGAGGGGCATCACAGTAATCCCAAATACTTAGAAGGTCAAGATGGGAGGATTGAAAGTTCAAGAGCTGCCTTGGCAACTAAGGAAGATCTAGTCTCAAAATTTAAAAACAATTGTTAAAAGTGCTGGGGACGTGGCTCATCGGGAGAGTGCTGCCTGTGAAGGACAAAGACCTGGGTTCAATCCCCAGTACTGCAAAAAAAATTAAAAATAAAATAAAAAATTTAAAAAGAAAGTTCTCTAACACATTCTAATCTCCACAAAGCAAAAAAAAAAATATTTCCCAAGAAAGAAAGTTGATAAGAGTATATAATATGAGATAGGTATTATTAAATGAAAGTTATAGAGTGTCATTGTTTTGGACTAAGCTCCTTCTCTAGCCCCCAACAGCTTCGACTTAACACCAAAGTGGAGTCATTCATACTACCATTCACAATACCAAAACAGAACTCCTATCTGATCACACTGGCATGCAGGAGAGAGAGAGATAATGGCCAAATTCCCCAAACAGGCCAGTTTCAGTTGGTATGAAAATAAAGTTCCCTATCCTTTAATCCTTATTAAAAAAAATCAACCTGAAATAACCTGATGTTAATCAATTATTTTCTATTGTTCTATTACCCCATTCCAACTTACAAGGAAAGTAACTTTGAAGTGATCAATTCCTTTTTTGCTGTTTTTGCTTTCTTCAACCCTTTTGTCTATAAAACCAACTTCCTCTGCTCCACCCACTTAAATGTTTATTCTGTTTTGTGGAATAAAGTATTGTCTGATTCTAGAATCAAAAAAATAAAGCCAACTGGGCTGAGGACATAACTCAGGGTAGATGCTTGCTTAGCATGCATGAGGACCAGGGTTTGATCCCCATACTACAAAAACTAAAATAAAATAATAAAGCCAACTTACACTGTTAACCTAAATTATTATAATGTTGTCTGTTACAAATATTAATAATGAAGGAAAAAAAGAGAAAGACAAGTCATATTCTAATAAGGAAGGAATCCAATAGAAAATCATAAAAAGAATAAAATTAAAAATATAATAAGATTTCAAAGAGATGGGGTTGGGGAAGCACTTCCCTAGCAAGCACAAGGCCCTGGATTTGACTACTAGTAACATTAATAGTGTGCACTATCTCATACACACATAGACACACACACACACACACACACACACACACACACACATACACACACACACATACAGCAGACTGGAGTTTAATACTAATTTCGGTTATTTGAATGTTCCAAAATAAAAAAGCATTTCTAAAAATATTTGTCATTGATATCATAAATTATCATCCATAAGTGTTTTGTTATTCACAAAGAAGGGCCAAGAAGTTGATATCATGTGAAAGAACAAGCTAATAGAATTCAAAATTAAGTAAACTCAGTCTCTAAAAGTGACTTTCATCCTTTCTCATCCTGAACCATAGCTCCACAAGGAAAATAAGGCAAAACTTACTAAGTCTTAGAGGATAAAGCAACCCAAAGAATAGGAGAAAATGTTTACAATTCATATATCTGATAAGGAATTGATAAACAGCATATACAGAGAACACTGGGGGAAATTTTCAAAAATGGGCAAAGGACTTCAATAGACATTTCTACAGATATAGTAGTATCCTCATAGCTGCCTAAAACCACAGACAGTAAAAAAAAAAAAATACCAATAATTTATTTTCCAAATTAACTAAGCATTTATCATGCACTGTGGTCATACTGCTATTTGCAATATGAGACCAAAATTAATAAAAAATTTTTCTTCTGCAAAATTTCACACATAGATTCATTCTTAGCAATTTCGGCATACCTTTTTCTTCCCTTATTAACTCAAGATCTTTCACTTAAAGGAAGCAGTTTATGGCTTCTCTTTTGCCTCTCTAAATTGCCAGCATCACTACTCTTGCTTATTGGGACATTAGTTAAGTAAAATAAAAGTTACTAGAAACAAACACTGCAGTACTGCAACCACTGATTTGATAACCAAGAAGACTACTGTGTGACTAACAAGCTTGTAGCATGTATAAAGAGGATATACTGTCCAATATATGATTCATATTCCAGGAAGAACAGAGTAGGAAAGAGCACAAACCCACAAGATTTCATCAGGCAACTCAGAACAGTGTGCAATTTAAAACTTGTGAATTGTTTAATTCTTAAATTTTCTATTTAACATTTTCAGACCATAGCTAATTGAAGATAGATGAAACCATGGAATGTGAAATCATGAATAACAAGGGACTGGTGTATACTACTGACCAATAAGTAAATGAAAAGATACTTAAAGTCACTATGCATTAGGGAAACATAAATCAAAACTACAACTCACATCTCCAAGGACAGCTAATACATAAAGTAATAATAATAATGCCAAGTGTTGAAAAGTATGTAGAGGGGCTGGGAGTGTAACTCAGCTACTTCAGACACTAAGGCAGAAGGATTGCTAGTCTGAGATAAGCTTAGGCAAGACCTTATCACTAAATAAAAAAGGCTGGGAATACAGCTCAATAATAGAGCACTTGCCTAGCAGAAGCAAGGCCCTAATTTCAATCCCCAGGACCACAATAAACAAACAAAGATAAAAAACAGATGTGGAGGGGCTGGGGTTGTGGCTCAGTGGCAAGAGCGCTTGCCTAGCATGCGTGAGGCATTGGGTTCAATCCTAGCACCACATAAAAATAAAAACAAAGAAAAGAAAGGTATTGTGTATATCTAAAAAGAAAAAATTCAAAGAAAAAAAAGGATGTGGAGAAGCATCATCAGTAGGAATAGAACATCATACAGTCATTGTGGGAAATAGTAAAGCAGATCCCCAAAATTTAAAAATGGAATCACCATGTGATCCAGCAATTCTTCTGAGTATATACCTGAAAGAACTGGAGCACAAAGAGATATTTGCACACCAATGCTCACAGCAGCATTATTTACAACAGGCAAAACATGGAAGCAATCCAAGTATCTACTGAAAAATAAATGGATCAAAAACTGTGGTATTATCTGGTCTTAGTAGCATACACCTATAATTTAAGCTACTTGGGAGACTGGGACAGAAGTATTGCTGAGCCCAGGAGTTCAAAGTCAGTCTTGGCAACAGAACAAGGACCCCATCTCAAAAAAAATAAAATAAAATAAAATAAAAAAGTAGTATGTAAATACAATGCAATGAAATGTTAAACTCCTTAAAAAGGAATTCTGACACCAGGCGCAGTGGCACATGCCTGTAATCCCAGCAGCTCAGGAGGTTGAGGCAGGAGGATCACAAGCTCAAAGAGAGCCTCAGCAAAAGTGAGGTGCTGAGCAACTTAGTGAAACCCTCTCTCTAAATAAAATACAAATAGGGCTGGGGATGTAGCTCAGTGGTGGAGTACCCCTGAGTTCAATCCCCAGTAAACCACCCCCGCAAAAAAAGGAATTCTGACATATACTACAACATGAATGAACCTTGAAGATATTATGCTATATGAAATAAGCCAGTCACAAAAAAGGCAAATATTATTTGATTCCACACATATAAGGTACCTAGAGTAGTCAAAATCATACCAAGTAGAATAGTGATTGACAGGGGATGGGGAATTAGGAGAATATAGAATTATTTTTTAATGAATACTGTTTGTTTTATAAGATGAAAATGTTATGGAGACTGATGGTGGTGATGGCTATACAACAAACATTATGTTTTTCATTGTTGTTTTTTGAGACAGTCTGGCTGTGTTACCCAGGCTGGCCTAGAACTAATAATCCTTTCTCTTCTGTCTCCTGAGTAGCTGGGATTACAATTATGTGCCACTGCACTCAACTTTTATGAATGTTTTTAATACCACGGAACTATACACTTAAAAATGATTAAAGTGAGCCAGGCGTAGTGATGATCACCTGTAATCCCAGTGGCTCAGGAGGCTGAAACAGGAGAATCACAAATTCAAAGCCAGCCTCAGCAAGGCAAGGCGCTAAGCAAATCAGTGAGACCCTGTCTCTAAATAAAATATAAAACAGGGCAGGAGGTGTGGCTCAGTGGTTGAGTGCCCCTGAGTTCAATCCCCAGTACCAAAAAAAAAAAAAAAAGATTAAGATGGTAAATCAGGGGCTAGAGTTGTGGCTCAGCGGTAGAACACTTGTCTGGCATGTGTGAATCACTGGGTTCAATTCTCAATACCATATATAAATAAAATAAAGGTCCATCAGCAACTAAAATACATACATATATATTTTTAAAAGATGGTAAACAATAGCATATATCCATTTTATCACAATTTAAAAAAAACTAGAGGGTGGGGTTGTGGCTCAGTGGTAGAGTACTTGCCCAGCATGTGTGAGGTACTGGGTTCGATATTCAGCACCACATAAAAAAATACATAAACAAAATAAAGGTATTGTGTCCATCTGCAATTAAAAAAAAAAAAAAACCTAGAAACAAAAAGTCTTAAGGAAATAAAAACCCAAGATATGATATTAGTAAATTCCCAAACAGGAAATTAAAATAATTTATTATATTTTAAAATGCAAACTTAATGCAGACAACAGATTATACTGGTGATAAAAGAGCTGAGAGGCCATCTATGGAGCTGTGAGGCAACCTATTCAATGAGCAACAATAGAAAGCCATCACTACCCCTTGGCTAAGGGTGGAGTGCAAGGTGGCAGGTCACTTGGCAGAAACTGGAATGCAGGTAGGTTGCCCAGGGGAGACTAAAACCACAGAGAAAAAAACACAGAAATGGGTGAAGCACTGGCTTCAATCCTCAGCACCACATAAAAATAAAATAAAAGTGTGTCCACCTACAACTAAATAAATAAATAAATGAAACAAAACAACAACAACATATATATGTAATATATATTGTTGCACAAATATATACAAATATACACATTATAGATAATTGAATATCAACAAAATAGCTGCAACTTTTTTGAAATTTTATAGTTATGAAAGACTGGAAAATACATAGAGGGGCAGGCAGCCCCCTTGTGAAAAAGAGTGGGAAAAGGCAATGAATGAAAACAGACATTGGACTAACAAATTCTGCTCAGACAAAAATAATTTTAAAGTCTAAAAAGTTCGACATTTTTGCAAATGATTAGTTTGCAGTTATAAATCCTACAAAATTGATCGAACTTGAATTACAACATCTTTCCTAAGAAAATCTTAATTCACTTGAATTTAAGTTTGAGGCTACACATTGTGTTAAACTTTAAGACTTGTACAATATATATTTGTTCTAAAGAAATTTCTGTAGTGTGGGTGTTACCTTTTAATTAAAAATGAATTCATTTTGAAAGCCAAAAAGTTACTATAAAAGAAAATAATTGGACTACAGTAAGAGTTCTCTTTCTGGGATCTGGTCAACCCCAAACAAACATTTAATTCACATATTCCAAAAAAGTTTAAATCATACCATTTAAATCTGCATTTTCAAATCTGACCCAGACTATTTTCTCCTTTTCTTCTGTTAAAGATGTTCCACTGTAAGCCTGTATAGTAAACAGAAATGTTTAAATAAAAATGTTTTACAGCTCTATTACTGATGTTCAGTAAAATCAATTCTACCCCTCTCCAACTGCACTAATCCTCTATCTTGGTAACTAACACATTTTAGAACATTATTACTCTGATGGATATTCATAAAGAAGTCTAATGACTTTGGTTAAAAAGATAATTTTTGACTAATTAAAAAATTGCAGACACCTAAAAATATAATCATCACAATCTGTAAGAAACAACTCACAGGCACAAAAAAACTAAAATACCACCTGTATTGGTCAATGAATAAGGCTTAAAACTACCACCTTTATATAATTCATCCCTCGGTGCTTTTTCTCAGACAATTACACAATACCTACAGCTCTCAAGAGTATTATTTTTTTCACCTGTTATCTGGCTTCTAGATCCAACCTATCAGCTAATTCTTACAAGCCTGCAAGGATCACAAAGATAAATATTAAGGGCTAGCAAGTGTGGATAATACTTATCAGTATTTAAAAGGATTCATCTCTATATGAAGCATGTTTTTTTTTTTAATTTTTTATTGTGGGTTGTTCAAAACATTACAAATTTCTTGACATATCATATTCCACACTTTGATTCAAGTGGGTTATGAACTCCCACCTTCACCCCATACACAGATTGCAGAATCACATCAGTTACACATCCATTGATTTACATATTGCCATACTAGTGTCTGTTGTGCTCCGCTGCCTTTCCCATCCTCCACCCTCCCCCCTCCCCACCTCTCCCCTCCCCTCCCCTCCTCTCTCTCTACCCCCTCCACTGTATAACCCTGAGGGTCTCCTTCCATTACCATGCAATTTCCCTTCTCTCTCCCTTTCCCTCCCACCTCTCATCCCTGTTAAATGTTAATCTTCTTCTCCTGCTCTTGTCCCTACTCTGATCTTAGTTACTCTCCTTATATCAAAGAAGACATTTGGCATTTGTTTTTTAGGGATTGGCTAGCTTCACTTAGCATAATCTGCTCTAATGCCATCCATTTCCCTGTAAATTCTATGATTTTGTCATTTTTTAATGCAGAGTAATACTCCATTGTGTATAAATGCCACATTTTTTTAATCCATTCGTCTATTGAAGGGCATCTAGGTTGGTTCCACAGTCTTGCTATTGTGAACTGTGCTGCTATGAACATCGATGTAGCAGTGTCCCTGTAGCATGCTCTTTTTAGGTCTTTAGGGAATAGACCAAGAAGGGGAATAGCTGGGTCAAATGGTGGCTCCATTCCCAGCTTTCCAAGAAATCTCCATACTGCTTTCCAAATTGGCTGCACCAATCTGCAGTCCCACCAGCAATGTACAAGTGTACCCTTTTCCCCACATCCTCGCCAGCACTTGTTGTTGTTTGACTTCATAATGGCTGCCAATCTTACTGGAGTGAGATGGTATCTTAGGGTGGTTTTGATTTGCATTTCTCTGACAGCTAGAGATGTTGAGCATTTTTTCATGTACTTGTTGATTGACTGTATGTCCTCCTCTGAGAAGTGTCTGTTCAGGTCCTTGGCCCATTTGTTGATTGGGTTGTTTGTTTTCTTATTGTCTAATTTTTTGAGTTCTTTGTATACTCTGGATAAGACAGAATCCCAAATCCTAGAAGCCTACAGGACGCCGAATGTGAAGCATGTTTATATTTTAAATTTTTTAAATCGCATAGAGCAGGGCTCCAGTGCATAGGCCTGTAATCTAACTAATCAGAAGCCTGAGGCAGGAGGATCACTTCAGCCCAGGAGTTCAGGCCAGCCTGGTCAACACAGCAAACCCTGACTCAAAAAATAAAACAAGGGGAGCTAGGGATGCAGCTCAAGTGGTAGTGTGCTGGCCTGGCATACGCAAGGCACTCGATCCTCAGAACCACATAAAAAATAAATAAATAAAGATATTGGGCCACCTAAAACAAAAAAAAAAATAAATATTTAAAAAATAATAATAAAAAAAATAAAACAAGGTTCTGGGGTTGTCGCTCAGTGGTAGAGCGCTCGCCTAGCACGGGTGAAGCACTGGGTTCAATCCTCAGCACCACATAAAAATAAAATAAAAGTGTGTCGGGGCTGGGGATGTGGCTCAAGTGGTAGCACACTCTCCTGGCATACGTACGGCCCGGAGTTCGATCCTCAGCACCACATACAAACAAAGATGTTGTGTCTGCCGAAAACTAAAAAAATAAATATTAAAAATTCTCTCTCTCTCTCTTTCTCTCTCTCTCTCCCTCTCTCTTAAAAAAAAAGTATGTCCACCTACAACTATATAAATAAATAAAACAAAACAACAACAACATATATATGTAATATATACTGTTGCACAAATATATACAAATATACACATATAGATAATTGAATATCAACAAAATAGCTGCAACTTTTTGAAATTTTATAGTTATTTAGTGTGCAGAACAATTATTTAATATAAGCTGCACCAAAAGCATACAAAAATTACTAACCCATACAAATTTACAGCACTTCCTCTTAGAAATTTAAGTATCCATAGTATACCAATTTAACACCAATTTACGTATCCACACTATACCACACAAGGCTAATGGTGATCAAAAATACCACTAAAAGACAGGGTTACCTTAATAGATTTACTATCCAAAATAATTACCTTACAAATTCATACAATTTCAATCACCTTTTTGAAAAAGGAAAACATATGAAGGGACCAAGGTTTAGCTGAGTGGTAATGTGCTAAGCCCTGGGTTTAATCCCCAACACCAAGAAAATAAAAATAAAAACAAGTGGTATGTATAAACAGTTAATTTCTTGAAAGAAGAGAAAAATCTTCACTGGAACCAACTGACTGATTATCTTCAACCACCTCACTCTCATCTTCTTCCTAAGTCTTGTTATTTTTAGTCTTGAGGGTTTTTTGTTGGTTTGTTTTTTGTTTTGTTTTGTTCTGTTCTGTGTGTGTGATACTAGGGATTGGACCCAGGGACACTCTCAAGAGTTAACATTTCCAGAATTTCTTAGTTTTTAATTTGGTACAGGGTCTCACTAAGTTGCCAGGGCTGGACTCAAACTTAGGATCCTCCTGCCTCATCTCCAAGTTGCTAGGATTACAGGCACATGCCACCATGCTCAGTTTCAAAACTTTGTTTCTTTTTTTAAATATTTATTTTTTAGTTTTCGGCAGACACAACATCTTTGTATGTGGTGCTGAGGATCGAACCCGGGCCGCATGCATGCCAGGCCAGCGCGCTACCGCTTGAGCCACATGCCTAGCCCTCAGAAGTTTTTTTTTTTTTTAATATTTATTTTTTAGTTGTAGTTGGACACTATAGCTTTATTTTATTCATATATTTTTATGTGGTGCTGAGGACCAAACCCAGTGTCTCGCAGGTGTAAGGCGAGAGCTCTACCACTGAGCTACAACCCCAGCCCTCAAAACTTTTTATAAAAACAAACTTATTTATGAATAATTTTAGATTATTAAACACAGTACAGAGAGTTATTATAATCCCCACCTAGTTGAAGTTGATTATATAAACTAATCCAAAAAAATCTTATATTACCATACTTTGATATATTTTTACTAATATACCCGAGACCTTATTTGGATTTCACAAATTTTTTTAAAATTTTTTTTAGTTTTAGTTGGACACAATACCTTTATTTTATTTATTTTTATGTGGTGCTGAGGATCGAACCCAGTACCTCACACATGCTAGGCGAGCATTCTACTGCTGAGCCACAACCCCAGCCCCTTCACAAAATTTTCCACTAAAATCCTTTCTCTCTTCCAGGATCCAGTGTGGTATACTTCATTGCATTTAAAAGAACTTTGTTTTTTTTTTCCCTAAGTCAGGGTTCTCTTTAATCTGGTAAATCACTAACATTCCAAACTTTCCTTCAGCTTAGCCAACTTATTGAAAGACATCTTATCTACAGTTTTATTCAACATTCTCCCAATTCCTCTGCAACATCTTCAAAATGCTCTCCTTTGAAATTATCAGATCAAAGGGCACAGTTCACGGTTCTGACCAGCCATCAACCCTATCAGTTGAACACAACTAGAATTATTCAGTGGGTCATATGAACAAATGCCAGTATCTAGTCTAATAACACATTTTCTCTCTTCACAGGGATATTTACAGAACCAGATAATAATTTCTAGACTTCATGAATGTGATGATTCCCAGAATAGTGCAGGATTTGGAACATAACATTAAGAAAAAAAATTAGCTGACCACAAAGTACCAAGCAGGATTCTGAATTAAATGTGGAAGGAGTTAGAAAGCACTGTTTTCGGGCCTACCAAACAGTATACAAAGTGTCTAATGTAAAAAAGGTTTCCCCTATTTTTGCTCTTCTAAGCAAAATATGGCCACTAGCTCCGTAGTCGCTAAAGCTCACTTTATAATTATCAACTATAATGTTTTTGGCTCATCTGATTATATCAACTACTGATTATAAGCCATAAATCTCTCTGGCCCTCCATCTCTAGTCTCCTCAGGCTCCCTCTAAGACAGACTACTCAATATTTGTTTTGCTTTATTTTATGCTTCCTATATATGGTATCCTAGGTCTCAACATAAACTCATGATGAATACAAAGATTAACCCCATTTATACAATAGGACACCAATATTTAGAAATAGGAATCAGTAACTTGCCCAGAGATAATAACTAGAGTTGACATATAAAACCAGATCTAATATCAATATCTGTAGGATTTTTTTTAAGAGAGAAGGGGGGGGGAGAGAGGGAGGGAGAATTTTTTTTTAATATTTATTTTTTAGTTTTTCAGTGGACACAACATCTTTATTTTATTTTTATGTGGTACTAAGGATGGAATCCAGCGCCCCGCGCATGCTAGGCGAGCGTGCTACTGCTTGAGCCACATCCCCAGCCTGTTTTTTGTTTTGTTTTGTTTTGTTTTGTTTTGTTTTGTTTTGTTTTTAGTACCAGGGATTGAATCCAGGGGCATTTAACCACTAAGCCACATTCCAGCCCTTTTTATTTTTTGAGACAGAAAGTTGCTTAAGGCCTTGCTAAATTGATGAGGCTGGCTTTGAACTTGTGATCCTCCTGCCTCAGCCTCAAAAGTTGCTGGAATTACAGGTGTGTGCCACAGTGCCGGTTATGACTATACTTATGTTTGGCCATGATTTTAGCTGGATATTAGTTACACTAGAGACCATGAATCACTAAATCTGTCCATGACCTCTGTTCATAAATAAAGTTTTATTGGAACACAGCTACCCCCATTTCTTTAAACAGCAGTGGTGAGTAATTGTAAAAGAGATCATATGAACTGCGAAACTTATCTAGTCCTTTACAGAAGAAGTTTGCCCATCTCTGTACTAGATCATGCAGCTTTATGAACAGTCACTCAGTATCCATTCCCTCAACTTAGCTCAGGGCCTGCCCATGTGAGTGCTCAAGTAATTGTTTGCTGTCTGAATTTTTTAAATTTTTTTAGTTGTAGATGGACACAATACCTTTCTTTTATTTATATATTTTTATGTGGTGCTGAGGATCAAACCCAGAGCCTCACACATGCTAGGCAAGTGCTCTACCACTGAGCTACAACCCCAGCACCTACTGTATGAATTTTTACTTCCTTCCTACATTAAGTAGAATAATGACTCACATAGAGGGGACCAACAACATAAATTGTTCCTACCTGATCGAGATCTTCATAGCCAATTGCATAGATTAACAACCAGACACCTCCTTTCTAATGTATTATATTTTTACCTATCAGTTTTAGTAGCCCTTCTATTTTCCACCTAATAGAAACTACTCAATTGGATATTCTTGTTCCACTAGCAAATTCTTCCCTCAAACTTCTAACCAATGCTTTTCTCCTCCAGCCAATAAAAACTGCTCGCTATATGGTTCCTAATCACATAAAAGGTGTCTTTGTAAATAAATGGATAAAGAGACCCTGTGGGGGAGAGATGAATTATAAATGAAAAAAAAAAAAAAACTTTTCCTTGGAACTGTACTCTCACACCATGGATCAAGGTTTAAACGAGGAGTAAGTTTGAATTCATCCCCAAATTGCTAGGTAAACCTGATACTATGTAGTACAAGACCCTCTACAGCTATAGAGGGTCTAACACATCCACCTAGCCACTTTCTCTCAAAAAATACCAAATCATTCTCCTCGTTCCAATTAATGCTACCTTATAACTTCTTTCACTTTTTTCTTTACTCTGCATCCCCTTACCAATGAAATATTCAGTCTGTACATGTAAAGTTTACTGCCTCATTATTAATACTCTCTGGTTGTTTCAAGCAATTTGACTTATTAACCAAGTGCCTCGAGAAGAGAAATCATTTAGTGGAGCACACCTGTAATCCTAGCAGCTAGGGAGATTGAGGCAGGAGGACCACAAGTTCAAAGCCAGCCTCAGCAAAAGCGAGGCTCTAAGCAACTCAGTAAGACCCTGTCTCTAAATAAAATACAAAATAGGGCTGGGGAGGTGGCTCAGTGGTTGAGTGCCTGAATTTAATCCCCAGTACCCGCACCTGGCAAAAAAAAAAAAAAAAGAGAGAGAGAAAGATTTATAGTTTCTTATATATGCCTACAGATCTTACTGTCATGGTCTATTTTCATTAAAATTCACTGAACAGCTGTGCATTATGGCACATGCCTGTAATCCCAGCAGCTCAGGAGGCTGAGATAGGAGGATCACAAGTTCAAAGCCAGCATCAGCATCTTGGTGAGGCACTAAGCAACTCAGCAAGACTCTGTCTCAAAATAAAATATTAAAAGGGCTGAGGATGTTGCTCAGTGGTAAAGCACCCCTGGGATCAATCCCCAGGGGGAAAAAATGTTTTTTGGCTGAATATAATAAAGCAATACCAATTTTTTAAAAATTATTTTCATACACACACACACACACACACACACACATACATATATGTGTGTATTTTAGTTGTTGACAGACCTTTATTTTATTCATTTATTTATATGGGGTGCTGAGAATTGAATCCAATGCCTCACACATGTTAGGCAAGCACTCTACCACTGAGCCACAACACCAGCCTGCAACCCCAATTTTGTTTAATAAAAGTAAAATCTAGAGTTCAGAGCTTCCCAGACTCTCTCACAAGTTCAGATCCTAGATGTGGAAATGCCCTTTTAGAGCAGTGCAACTGGGAAAGCAAGTCTGCAGTCGGAGAAGAGCGTGGAAATTACAATCACTTTTAACAAATATGCCAAAAGATATTTGTTAAATTTGGGTAATAGTATACTAGATGATGACAGTAAGGCTGTTCTTATTATTTTCTCATTTACCAAAAAAATGCACAATAAAGGGCTTAGAATCTTACAAATTAACATAATAAACCTGGTGCAGTGGTGCATACCTGTAATCCCAACAACTCAGGAAGCTGAGGCAGGAAGATCACAAGTTCTAGGCCAACCTGGGCAACCTGGCAAGACTCTGTCTCAAAAAATAAAAAGGACTGGGGATGTAGCTCAGTGTAAGAGCACCTCTGGGTTCAATCCCCAGTAACACCAATAAAAAAATAAATAAATAGTACAATAATATCCACGTACATGGCACAAAAATATTGTTTATCATAAAAACAAAGATTTGTGCTAAGGTGTAATATTTAGTTTAAAGCTAGTTAATCAAGTCAGAGGGTATATTCTTTTCTCACTTTAGGCAGGTACTTTTTTAACTCAGGGCACTTAACCACTGAGCCACATACTCAACCCTTTTTTTTTTTTTTTTTTTATTTAGAGAGAAGGTTTGGTGAATTGCTGAGGCTGGCTTTGAATTACCGATTCTCCTGCCTCAACCTCCTGAGTCACTGGGATTACAGGTGTGTGCCCAGTAACTTTTTTTTATTTAATTGCTATGGATTGAATCCTGAACCTCACACATGATAATCAAGTGCTCTAGCACTTAGCTACATCAACCAGCCCAAGACCTCTTAATTCAGACAAGGTAACAATTTTGGAAATAGAACTCAACTAGAGATTCTCAAGTTCTAACTCTCAACTAACATATCACTTTGATTCCTCTTATGAGGGGAAGTCTTAAGGAATAACACTTATGCCACCATCATGACAAAAACTAAGGTATCTACACTACTAAAAACAAGTGTATACTAGGCACAGTGGCACACACCAGTATTGAAAATTCAAGACCAGCCTCAGCAACTTAGTGAGGTCCTAAGCATTTTAGCAAGACCCCATCCCAAAAATAAAATAAATAAATAAATAAAACAATGGACTGGGGATACAGCTCAGTGGTAAAGTGCTTCTGGGTTAAATCTCTGGTACAAAAAAAAATAGTCACAAAACAATATTTCAGAGCTTCCTAGTAAAAGATAAAATCACTATTTCTGCTATCACACAAAAGTAAAACTACTTTCTCTGCAAAGACACTTACCTGTGGCACAACATCCTGAAGAAAAGTTACAACACTTTCCATGTAGGACTGCTCTCTGGAAAAGAGCAAAATGGATAAGATTTGACATGATAGATTTAGACAGACCATGGAAAAGCTCTATATGTGAGCCCAAATGAAGTCACTCCCAATATTAAAACAAGGGGGAAAAATTATCACTTGATAATTCTGTTTATCCACTTGCTAGTTTCATGAATCTTTGTATATGCTCTTGACTGTAAGTCTTAAATTTTAAAAGAAGAACTAATGGCACATGCCTGTAATCCCAGCAGCTCAGGAAGCTGAGGCAGGAGGATCACAAGTTCAAACCCAGCCTCAGCAACTTGGCAAGGCCCTAAGCAACTTAATGAGACCCTTTCTCAAAAAAAAAAAAAAAAAAAAAAAGGGTTGGGGATGTGGGGATATAGATCAGCAGTAGAATACCCCTGGATTAAATTTTCAGTGCCAAAAAGAAGATAAATATTTTTTTTTTAAAGTTGATGAGGCTATAGCTCAGTGTTACAGCACTTGCCTAACAAGTGAAAGACCCCGGGGTTCAATCACCAGTACCAAAATAATAATAATAATAATAATGCTCTTCTAATTTGATAGAGATAACTTCTAATTCATGTTTGAAGGAATGATGACAGAATTCCTAGCTAAGACAGACCTTCCTCTTGAGTCAGAGCATAACAATGCCCTACTTAGAGCAAGAAAAACTGTTGCTGATGACTCAGTATTTAGTGACCTCCTCTTTAAATTTGTTATGAACCTAGTCCCTTACCTGTATGTAGCAAAATGAGTCTACATTTTGCTCTATGTGCAGACATTAGAACAAGTTATTAAAAAGTCTTTACAGAACTTTTGCATACATGAAGCCTGGGAAAATATCAAAAAGCATAAAAGTGAGGGAAAATAACATTGTTCAGGACACTAAATGAGATTTTTTTTTATGCTGTTGGGAATAGAGTCCAGAACAAAACACATGTTAGGCAAGTATCCTATCACTGAGCTATATCCCCACCTCCCACCCAAAGATATTTTAAATGGGAAGTATACAGGTATAAACATGTGCAAAAAATAATTTCTTCAAAATACTAAATTAATTTCAGGAAAGATATGAAAAAGTACATTCAAAATAATACAAGACATTCTAAAACCTAGGAAAAAAATATACCTTAGACTGTGATTGCTTCTTGTTGTTTGGTTGTGTTTTTTTTCCCCAGAGTCAGGGATTGAACCCAGGGCCAAATGCATGCTAAACAAGTACCTAATCAATGAGTTACATTACCAATCCTATATTTTTAAAACATGCCTTGGAGACTTACAAAAATTGATTAGGCCTAAAAACAAACAAACAAACAAACAAACAAAAAAAAAACCGATTAGGCTGTGGACTACAGTAGCACCATGGCACAGCACGTTTGATCCCCAGCACCCAAAAAAAAAAAAAAGATTTGGCCTACCTCTCCAACCTCACTTTTTTGCCATTCTGCTTACATACACTGCTTAACCTATATGCCACTGCAATTTCTAGAATACAGTATACTATTGTTTTTTTTTTCTTTTGTTTTATTTTTGTACTGAGGATTGAACCCCGAGGCACTTTTCAACTGAGCCATATCCCCAGCCCTTTTTTTATTTTGAAATGTGGTCTCACTTATTTACTGAGGGCCTCATTAAGTTGCTGGAGCTGGCCTTGAACTTGAGATCCTCCTGTCTCAGCCTCCTGAGTCTCTGGAATTACAAGCATGCCACACCATGCCCAGAACTACACTATTCCTTGAATCAAGACCTCTACATCATCTTTCTTTCTGCCTGATATCTTCCCACATACTTTTCTTTCATTCAACTCTCCAGTTTAAATGCTGCTTCCTCAAAAAGATCTTCAGTGATGGCCCTACACATACTCCCTTGTTACTCTCTATCATGGCATACTGTGCGGGGATGACACCTATAATTTATGTACTTTCTTACTTATTTATTATTTTCCCCCACCAGAATGTAAGCTCCATTACAAGAAGGAAGGAATTCATCTCTCATATTTACTTTTTTTTTTTTTTTTTGGTACCAGGGGTTGATTTCAGGGGTGCTTAACCACTGAACCATATCTCCAGCCCTTTTTAGTTTTTTATTTTGAGTCAGGGTCTCAGTGAGTTGCTGACATTGGCTTTGAACTTAAGATCCTCCTGCTTTAGCCTCCTGAGCTTCTGGGATTACAGGAGTGAGCCACTGTGTCGGCTTCCCCTAAAACTGACAAGTCCTGGCAATTGAACCCGGGGCCTGCCACATACCAGGTAAGTACTCTACCACTGAGCTATATCCCCAACCCTTTTGTTGTTGTTGTTGAGATAGGGTTTTACTAAGCTACCCAGGTTGGCCTCAAATTTTCAATCCTCCTGCCTCAGTTTCCCAGTAGCAGAGGTTATAGGTATGTACCACCATTCCTGGCCACCATCATCTTATCACCAAAACCTATTAGCCAGTATTTAAGTCTATGCTTATATTAAAAAAATGAATGAATGAAAGATTGAAAAACCAACCCCACTAAAAGTGTGTACTGCATAACTAAAAGCAATATGCAACATGCTTTGAACACCATATTGTGAGACAACACAGAATACTAAATAAGGACACAGATCCCTATTCATAGTAAATAAGAACAAAACAATCTGGGCTTGATCCTGGTTCCCCTTCTTGAGGGCTGGGAGTATAAGTGGTAGAGTGCTTGCCTAGCATGCACAATTCCCTGGGTTCAATCCCCAAGCATCAAAAAAAAAAAAAAGGAAAGAAAAAAGTTAATATGGTGGCGCCCCTCTTTGACTGTTACCAAGGAGAATTCAATTTTTCCCTATTTTGATTTCCTCAACAGTACCCAACTCATAGCTAATAACATGTATAACTTGTTGCTATGATTCATAGTTAGAAAAGAAATATATCTCTCGGAAGTGTAGAGGAAGTATCATGGTAAAAGATCATATTATACATATCCTTGGTCAATCTGAGAAAGCAATCTTAGTGTAAAATGCTAAACTACTACCCAAGGGAAATAATCCAAGACTACTACAATTTCCCTCTAACAGCATTTTATAAGGCATAAAATGAGCCTCATCTCTACCAGGCCCTGAAGGGTCTTAATTGTCTACCTCAACCTATTTTAAATAGGTCATTTTTCCTGCATCAGGACTACATTTCATTTATAAAACAGCCTATCTTTCCCAAATCTTTTCACCCTATTCCCTTTGCCCTAAATGTATCTTTGATTCCAAAAGCCTAAATTTTTTCACCCTTAAAAGATACATTCTTACTGTTACCTTCTTAAAGAAACCTTGTCTGATCACACTCCTAAAATACTTTCTAAATTCTTATGCTGTTTTGCTGGAATCCTTTCTTTTTTGCAGGTTACACTAATATCAAGTATGTACATCTTTAAACCACACTGTATTATAAACTCCTAGAAAATATAGATACTCTTTGTCAAAGATTATCCAATATCTATAAATTTGCTCTTGACACTTTGAAACATTCTGAGACCTAGAGTAAGAGATACATTTTATATTACAATCTAGTAAGCATATACATACATAGGAATATATTTGTGCACAGCATGAAATAATTCTAACTCCCTTTATATGTTTTCTATTTGTGATGTTAGAGATCTAACCCAGGGCCTCACATATGCTAGGCAAGTGCTCTACCACTGAGCTATGCCTCCAGATGCTATTTAATTATTAAAACACAGATCCTGACCCACCAAGTTGATTTTATGATCCACTAGTTTGTTAAACCTAGAGTTTGAAAAACCATGACTCTTCAGGATTTAACACAGTATTATTATTATTATTATTTTTTTTTTTTGGCACCTGGGAGTGAATTCAGGGGTACTTGACCAGACAGCATCCCCAGCCCTATTTTGTATTTTATTTAGAGACAGGGGTCTCACTGAGTTACTTAGTGCCTCACTGTTGCTGAGGCTGACCTTATACTAGCAATTCTCCTGTCTCAGTCTCCCAAGCCGCTGGGATTACAGGCATGCACCACCACGCCAAGTTTAGCACAGTATTCTTTAGGTACTCTATAGCTCTCCAAATGTTCCTGTAAAGCCAAAATTTTAAAGATTTTTACAAAAGTAAGCACTAGTTAAAAAGAAAATCTGATGTTGGATACAGGGGTGCCCACCTGTAATCCCAGCAACTAAAATGGCTGAGGCAGAAGGATCACAAGTTTGAGGACAGCCTCAGTAAATAAGCAAGGCTCTCAGTAACTTAGCAAGACCCTATTCAAAATAAAAGATAAAAAGGGCTGAGGATGGGGCTGGAGTTGTGGCTCAGTGGTAGAGCGCTTGCCTGGCATGTGCGAGGCCCTGGGTTCAATCCTCAGCACCACATATGAATAAATAAAATAAAAAAGATCCATTGATAACTAAAAAATATTTTTTTCTAAAAAGGGGGCTGAGGATGTAACTCAGTGGTAAATCACCCCTGGGTTCAATATGCAGTACCAAAACAAAACAAAAATGAAAACAAAAATTTGAATGTTAGTTATTATTGTGAGTAAAGTTTTCTTCAGTTGTTGGGCTTATCTGAAGTATGCTTACGTGACAGCCTGAGGGCGAACCACAACTCCACCAGTACAACGACTGGGTCTTCTAGGAGAATCTGTAGCCATAGCTTCAGTCATAAAACCTGGTTCCAGAACAAAAAAAAAAAAAAAAAAGCTTAATCATCGTCATTAGAGGAAGAAAGTCTTATGATTACTTACCAGAGAATCCTTCTGAAAAAATGCCTAAAAAGATTGGCATGGTGGCACAAACAAATAATCCCAGCTACTTGGGAGGCTGAGGCAGAGAAGTAGCCAGCCTCAGCAACTTAGCATTGCTTTATCTCAAAATTAAAATTAAAAGGGCTCAGGATGTGGCTCAGTAGTAAGGCACTCCTGTATTTAATCCTCAGTAATGGAAAGGTTGGAGGATAAGGGGACCAACAAAGTACAAAATCCTCCTGAAATTTCTATTAAACCAGAAAAAGAAAATATTTTTTAAATTCCAAATTATGAGGTTTGGTTTTTTTTTATATAGACAATGTCTCAGAACCAAAAACAGTAAATGCTCTTGCTGGACCCTTTGTTCTCTTGTTAACATACACTAGAAAGATAAGAGAATGAGATGGGATGGGAATTGTAGCACAGGAGCAATTAGATAAATATTCTACCTTGGTGAGTCAAAATAAAAGAATTTACTCAAATTTTAGGTTGAGATAGTGAATATGCACATGGAATAATATTTCAAGACCCAAAGGAACAATGATATGATACCCCTCTACTTTCTTATTAAACCTGCTGGGAATCTCAGTAAGACAGCAGGGCCTCATTTAAATCATATTTTCAACCTCTGTCTATTGTAACCTAATCTCCAGGCTGAATACATATGTATATAAACATGCATGGTGTGAGATGCCCCTTATCCTTCCCCATTGCATCACTAAATCCTCATCCTTGAATGTCTAATAAGTCTCTGAATCACTAAGGAGATTTTAAGAGCATGGAGTCTACTTGTTTAAGGTTAAAAGAGGACTGACAGCAATATTAAAGCCCAGAGCACGAAACTAATGCAAAAAGAACCTAAAAGCATCACTTCTAAGTAGGAAGCATTCTATCACCTTGTTTGAAAACTCCCAAACTGATAAGTCCCATCTCCTACACCTTTTGCCAACTGGTCCAGCTACCCCTTCCTTCCTCAGGGGGTACCTTTCAACTCCAGCTCCCTTATCCCTCTCATTTCCATTCCACCCTTTCTTTTCCGAACCAGTCATCCAACCTCTCTCTGTTCTTTAAAGGCCCTGTCATCTAAGGACCACTCTCGCCAGCCCCTCAGGCCCCACTCTCCCAAAAGACACTCACACAGCGCTATCCACTTAACCTCCAACGCAGAGCCACCGCTGCCCCCGGCCGCCCTCTGGCCCCTTGCCCTTCTCCCCTCCCCCTCTAGTCTCGACACCTCTCCCCCGTCGAATTCCTGCCAGCCAAACACTGCCCCCCTCACGCTGCCTGCCCCTCGTCCGCTCCAAGCCTCCCCAAAGCCAAAGACCCGCCAGCCCTCTCACCGGCCGCTCCGCCGGTAAACGCTGTTCCCCAGCTCCAGGCTCACTGTTTGGAGTCTCCCCTCGTGATTGACGGCTTCCACTTCCTACCACGCCTCAGCGGAACCACCCTGCTAGCCAATCCCAGAAGCAAACTGGCCCTGGACGGGCACCGCCCTTGGAGGTCAGCTTCGCCAACCAGCAAGTAGAAAAGAGGCGGACCCGCCTCCTGAACATATCCAATCCGCTGGGGCTGGAGGGAAAACACAACAGTATGTAAGTTCGGGTGAAGTCGATGTATCAGGTTCGGTTGCGAGCGCAGTCAGGTAGGCAAGGATTACGAACGTGTCTATTTTAGTGGCAGACAGTACCATCGTGGGTTTTTAGGAAAAAACAACATACCCCAGACACCTGCTGACCTCGCCCAAGCGTCTCAGACTGGGAACCAGAGGACAGGGAGACGGGTCTGTTTACATCGAATTCTCGCGACAGCTGGTTCGAAACTCAAAGCACGTGGACGTGGCAGCTGCCAATCACTCTTAACTGGCCATTCATACGTCCCGAAACCGACTTCTGCCCCGCCCTTTGCGATGTGTTTACCTTCCGGGATCCTAGGCTGACTCGCCCCGCAGATCAGCCCTGGAACCTAGGCGGTGTTGTTCTGAGGAAGGGGCATGGCCGTGGTCTTGTTAGATTTGAGCTCCCTTATAGAACCAGGACTGAGTGTTTACCACAGTTTACATCTTCCTTATCGGGATCTAACCATTGTCATTTTTTTTTCATACTTTTTAAAAGAAGAAAAATTGATTTATTGATCACTCCGCAGTCTTTGATTTTACTTCATATGCAATACTTTATTACCAAATTTAATGCTGCAACAGCTCCATGAAGATATTGCTTATTAATAGGCACGGTTTTGTAACTAATTGGCTGATACAACAGTAAACATTAGAAAGATCTTAGCACAATGCAGGAGGAAAAGGTTTAGTAGAAAAACTACTACCTCCCAAATACGAAATCTCCGGGCGCGGTGGCACACGCCTGTGATCCAAGCGGTTCGAGGTGGGAGGATGAGGCAAGACGACTGTAAACTCAAAGCAGCTCAGCATCTTGGAAAGATCCTGTCTCAAATTTTTAAAAAAGGGCGGAGATGTAGCTCAGTGGTTAAGCGCCCCTGGATTCAACCCCCTGTACCAAAAAAAAAAGGATGAAAGAAACAAGAGCCCAGCGCAGTGGTGCACCTCCTGTAATCAAAGCACCTTGAGAGGCTGAGGCAGAAGGAAGGCAAGTTCAAAGTCAGTATCAGCAAATTAGCGAGGCTCTAAGCAACTTATTGATACCCTGTCCTCAAAAATTAAAAAAGGCTTGGGATGTAGTTCAGTGATTAAGAGCCCTTAGATTCAATCCCCAGGACCAAAAAAAAAAAAAAAAAAAAAAAAAAAACCTTCCTACCTTAAACACACTACAGAAAGAATCTTCCCAGTATTCTGAATTCCTTCTGTTTTTACTGTTGTACTTTTTTTTTAACCAGGGATTGAACCCAAGGGCACTTAACCACTGAGCTACATCCCCAGTCCTTTTTTATTTTTTATTGAGAGGATCTCACTGGGTTGCTTGCAGCCTAAGTTGCTGAGGCTTGCTTTGAACATGGGATCCTCCTGCCTCAGCCTCCTTAGCCACTAGGATTACAGGCCTGTGCCACCATGCTGAGCCAGCACTGGCTTCTTTATTGTCTCTGTAATGTGTTTTGGGTGCTTCTTTTCTGTAAATATCCTTTTCCCCCATCTACAACATTAAATACTTCCTAGGCAATAGTAGGTCAAGCCTTTTACATTGCTGAATCCCCCTTAACCCCTAACAGCCATGAATCCACAAGAATTTAAAAATTAAGATTTCTTTGAATGTAAAAACTATTGTTCATATGCTGTCCAGAACCCAGAGCAGTATTAAAAACAAAACCTAGATACCAATAACTAATAATCACAAATGGGATAATCAACATTTGGATACATTTTTCAGTTTAGAGTTGATTTTTGATCTGCTTGTTGGTTTTGTTTGTAGTACTGGGGATGGAACTCAGAGCCTGAGTTACCTTCCCAGCCCCTTGTAAATTTTATTTTGAGACAGGGTCTCACTAAATTGCTGAGGCTGGCCTCAAACTTGAGATCCTCCTGCCTCAGCCTCCCAAGTTGCTATGATTACAGGCATGCGCACTGTGCCCTACAGTTTTGTATGCATTGTTAAACCTCATAACTCTATTTCTCTTCATAGCTATGATAAAATCAAGCAAACAAAATCATAAAGGATATACCTGTGCACAAGTTCATTCATTCATGAATTCAACTAATACCTGAGTACCTATCAAGTGTTAGGTGTGTTCTGAGTGGGGATATATATAGCCCAGTGAACAAATGGACAAATCATTGCACTTGTCCTTAGCCAAAGAATTCACACTCTGATGGGAAGACAGAAATAAACACAAACTGAGAAGGTAGTGTAAAATGCCATGAAGAAAAACAATCCAGATAAATACATCAGCAAATGGCTTATTTTAGATAATATAGTCAGGACCCGGTCATACCTATAATCCCAGCTGCCCAGGACTTGAAGAAGGAGGATCTCACATTAGAGGTCAGCTTCAGCAATTTAGTGAGATCCTGCCTCAAAAAAAAAAAAATTAATAGGGCTGGTAATGTTGATCAGTGGTAAAACACCCCTGGGTTCAATCCCCAGCACAAAACAAACAAACAAAAAAAGATAGTACAGTCAGGGATATTTGTTTTGTGTGTGTTGTTTTGTCTTGTGTTGTGTTGGGGGTTGAACCCACAGCCTGGAGCTTGCTAAATACATTCTCTAGTCTACTCCCAGCCTGGAGAGAACATTTAAATAAAAACCTCAACTAAATGAGGAAGACATTCTGAGACAGCAGTCCAGACAAAAGGATCAAATTACCCAGCCCCTAAGAAGAGTTTTAAGGAAAAGAAAAAAAAAAAAAAAACAAGAAAATCAATATGGCTCAAATAAAGTGAACTAAGTTAATCTTACTGCAGACTAGTTAGGGAAGATAAAGAATGGCCAAATGCAATATGGTCTTACAAAGAATTATAAGGAATTTCCATTTTTTTTATAGGATGGGAACCTATTGGAAGAATTTCAGCTAGGAAGTGTCATATTATTTTTTTCTTGAAGTTCAGGAATTCAGCCTAAGGGTTCACCCATGCTAGATAAGTGCTCTACCACTGACTACATCCCCAGCCTTTTTAAATTTTGAGATGGGGGTCTCACCAAGTTACCTAGGCTCTCCTTGAATTTGCCCTCCTCAATTTCTGGAATAAGTAGGATTACAGGTGTGCACTGTCACTCCTCGCTGACACTTGATTTTAACAATGCCAAAGTAATCTATTTTCTTACACAACTATGGTGAATATAAATAATTTTTTTTACCAGAGAGAGATTAAACCCAGCAGTGCTAAAACACTGACCCACATCACCAGCCCTTTTTAAAATATTTTATTTAGAGACAGAATCTCGCTGAGTTGCTTAGGGCCTCACTAAATTATGAAGGCATCCTCCTGCCTCAGCCTTCCGAGCCCCTAGTATTACAGGTGTGCACTACCACACTGGACAATATTTTAATTTTCAGGGCTGGGGATATAGTTCAGTTGGTAGAGTGCTTGCCTCGCATGCACAAAGGCCCTGGGTTCAATCCCTAGGAGCACACACACACACACACACACACACATGTATGTGTACATTTAATTTTCAATAAATTTAAAGACAGGATTGAATCTGCACCTCTAGTCCCAGCTACTTGAAAGGCTGAGGCAAAAGGATCACTTACCAGCTTGAGGAAACATATCAAGACACCATCTGGGGGGGGGGGGGGAGAAAATATCATATAAGAAAAAGATAGCCAGGCTCAGTGGTGCACGCCTGTAATCCCAGCAATTTGGGAGGCTGAGGCAGGAGGATCACAAGTTCAAGGCCAGCCTGGTCAATTTAGCAAGACCCTATCTCAAAATAAATATAAAAAATGGACAAGGATGTAGCTCAATTGTAGAGCATCCTTGGGTTCAATCCCCAGTAGAGAAAGAAGGAAACAAGAAAAAATGTTTCATTACTGATAGCAAAAACTGTAACAGTATCTGATTGGATTTTCTATGTTCATAGATGTCATATGTTAGACAATAATAGAGAGGGCAATACAATGGTAAAGTTTCTACATTCCACTTTAAGTGATCAAATATTGATATTGAGTATAAAAGAATGTATAATTCCTAATGTAACAACTACTTCTGGCAAAATATTTTGCTTCATAGATTAAAATCTTGGGGCTAGGGACATAGCTTAGTTGGTAGAGTACTTGCCCACATGCACAAGGCTCTGCGTTCAATCCCTGGCAAAGGAAGAGGAAAGAAGAGGGAGGAAGGAAGGAAGGAAGGAAGGAAGGAAGAAAATTAAGTTCTTAACTTTTGTTACTGGCACAATATATTTAGGGGTAAAATATACTGAAATGCTTTCTTCCATCACATGAATTTTTCAAGTATCTTTATGATGAAAAATTCAATGTTCATTAATGCTGTTATGAAAACATACCTAGTACACAGCTTGTGAAACCTCTGTTAGGGGTTGGGGATATTGCTCAGTGGCAGGGCACTTTGCTTAGCTTTTGAGAGTCTCCAAGTTTCATCCCCAGCACTGGAAAAATAAAGATTACATAACCCATTACTGTAATCAAGTGGAAATTTTAACTTCATGTATAGGAATATTTTATTTACAACCACTAGGAGATAAAAGTGAGAAGTAGCTAAACAGATTTTAATATACACATATATTTGATGAATTTCAACTTGGTACAGATAAAATATCATAGATATAAAAGATGGAAGTCCTTCACAATGAATTAACTCCAAAATTGTCTATTAGTTGCTATGTCTCTATCTTGGAAAGATATGAAAAACAAATTCTTCAACATTCAAAAATCCATAAGGTGGGGATGTAGTTCAGTGATAGAGCACTTCTGGAATGTATGAGGCCCTGGATTTGATTCCCAGTACCCCAAGGGGGAAAAGAAATCCTTCTAAAAAACCAGCCACA